CTTAGACTGCTGGAGGACATAGGGACCCCTTTTTCATCATTCTGCTTCATTCTATCTCTATTCTCCCACTCTGCAGAATCTGTTAGTTCAATCTCTAACGTTCTGCTCTCTCTGCTTTTTCTCATAGTAGCTTCATCTGGTCTGTTCCTGTTTGGCTGTGACTCCATCCTGGAGAGAAATATCAGCTGTGCTGCTGCCATCAACACCTTTGTTTCTAGATGTTGGAGCTTGGCCTGTTTTCCAGTGTAGTCCTGTTTCTCTGACTGTGACTAACTGGATGTGCTCTCTTCATCCTCTGACATGGGAGCTGGCTCGGAGCTCGTCTGCCTGGCTGTGTGTTTCCTGGACGGGGCCGCCTGTGGAGCTGGTTGACAGTTGCCTTTTGTATCTATGCTTCTTTTTCTATGTCTGCTTCTGTCTCCTTGAACCCCAGTGGGCCTCAGCAGATGGCCGCTCACACTGAGCCTGGTTCTGCTGGAGGTTTCTTCCTGTTCAAAGGGAGTTTTTCCTCTCCACTGTCGCTACAAGCATGCTTAGTGTGAGGGATTGCTGAAGAGTCAATGAGTCGATGCAATCAGCTGGTTTTCCTTAGATAGAAAACTTTGAATCAATCTGACTGGATGATCTGGTTGAACCGTAGAAACAAACTTAATAGAACTGAACATTAGCCCGTCTGCAGCAGCCGGGGCCGGTTTTAGATTCTGATCATAGATTGAGGATCATTTCAATGATTGAGTTTTGCCACCTAGAGAAGAACATTAAAGACTCATTAAATTGCAATAATGTTTTGTTTTTTTTTTCCCTGAAAAGGATGAAGAACTGAGTATTTTGGAAACACTTTAAAACTCAGCTGATGTCAAGTCGTTCATTTAAAGCTAGTTGTTTGTTTCTGTGGAATCATCAGAACGATGCATCGTTTAGTGTAAAGCAGCTCAGTGGGAGGCGGTTCTACAGAACCTGGATGTGATCGAAAGCCCAGAAACTCCAATGTTGGCAATAACCCAACTGCCTGACAACCCAAACCCTTCGTTACGCTCTGGTTTCAATTAGAAAGTGGAATTTAAAGACCCAGCAGGAATTAATGTTCTTCTCTCAACCGACCCAAATAAAGAAGCAACGTCTGTTTGATGAATTAATCTACACCAATGATTAGAATATATTGCCTTTTGTATCTATGCTTCTTTTTCTATGTCTGCTTCTGTCTCCTTAAACCCCAGTGGGCCTCAGCAGATGGCCGCTCACACTAAAGTGCCCTGAGATAACATGATGTGAATTGGAGCCATAGAAATAAAATTAATAGAATTGAATCATCCCACATCATCTGATGGGCAAACTGGAACAACTGGGCTTCAATACACCCCTCTGCTATTGGCTGCTAGACTTCCTCACCAACAGACCTCAGTCAGTCCGGGTCGGACCTCTGATGTCATCAGTCTAAGCCCCTCCCCTCAGGGCTGCGTCCTGAGCCCCCTTCCGTTCACCCTGATGACACTAGACTGCGTCCCCAGGTTCACCACCGATCACACGGTGAAGTTTGCAGACGACACCACGGTGGTGGGCCTCATCAGAGACGACAACGACCTGGACTACAGAGAGGAGGTGGAGCAGCTGGTGGAGCAGAGATAACAGCCTGATCCTGAAGGTGGAGAAGACCAAGGAGATCATGGTGGACTTCAGGAAGAAGCGGCCTAACCACGCTCCACTGCTCATCAGCAGCTCAGCTGTAGAGGTGGTCAGCAGCACCACATTCATCACAGACACCCTCACCTGGACTGGAAACACCACCTCACTGGTCCAAAGGGCCCAGAAGCGCTTGGACTTCCTGCCCCCCCCCATCCTCCCCACCTTCTCCAGCAGCACCATAGAGAGCGTTCTGAGCAGCTGTCTCACTGTGTGGTGTGGAGGCTGCAGCGCCTCAGACTGGAAGAAGGTGAGAACAGCAGAGAGGATCATGGGGGCTCCTCTTCCCTCCATTAAAGACATTTCATCCCAGCGCTGCATCATGTTTTTTCTCACACACTGTTTACATTTGATCACTGCTGAACTTTAAGGAATGGAAAAGTTCAGAAAGCTTTTATTGTCATTTTTTTATTGTCAAAATGATAAAAGCTGCAGAAAGATGGACATCACGTAGGTTGGAGATGACCTAACAATCTGCAGGTAGGAGCAGCAACTGCTGGCAATCTGAAGGGATTGCTGATGCCTTCCCATCCTGCCACTGAGGCCACAGCTGAGATCTGGGTTGGATTATTTTGGAGGAAAACTGTTAACATATTTTTGGAGGTTTTTCTACAAGAAATCAGCTAAAGAACCTTTGATGTTCTGGTTTAAAGCTTCTGCGTTTAGATGTTTTCTGCACATCCTCCCCCCTACAGTCCATCAGCAGTCTGTGAGGAGGGTCCAGCTCCCCCCCCCCATGTTGTGGAGAAGGAGCTGGACCCTCTGACCACTGTGGCAGACAGGAGTCTGTCCAGGCTTCAGTCCATCTTGGACAATGTCTCACCCCCCCCCCCCCCCCCCTCCATGACACACTGGCCCAGCAGAGGAGCTCCTCTGACCCAGATGCACCACAGAGCGCCACAGGAATTCCTTCCTGCCTGCGGTCATCCATCTCTACAACGCCGCCCTCAGAAAGTCCCCCCCCGCCTGTAAATCAGACTCAGATTATAGAATTATTGACAATTATTAATTCTTTTGCTCTATTATTACTTTTTTTTAGACCTGTAAGTATGATCTAACGATGTATCTATTATAGTTAAATGTGTATACTTTTATTTTTAGAGTGGAAAGTTGTATTTCTTTGTGTTGTATTTTATTTCTTTAGATGATAAATATGTTGTTTGTAGACCTGCAGCGTGTAACAGAGATAATTCCTCTGAGATCATTAAAGTATTTCTGATTCTGTTTCAGACATTAAAGCTGCTTAGAAGCTAGTTGATGATTTTCAGGATGTTTTCCAAGGAAGGAAAACCTTCAGGATGAGAAGGTTGGCCTGCTTTCCTGTAACTTTAGACGTTTTGCTCTGCAGAATCTCTAATGGATCCAGCATGTGTTCCGCAGACAGCAGGCTGCCATCATCGACTCCCTGTTCCAGCTTTTTATGAAACCTTTGAGGGAATAAATGAAACACCGCCTGTGGTAATGACATCATCAACCTGACTGAATGCATCACTGACTACGTGACCTTCTGTACTGTATCCACGCCACGGCTACGGAGCTTTCCAAACAACCCCCCCTGGATGACTCCTGAGCTGAAAGTCCTCCTGAACCAGACAGAGCAGCGTAGGGTTCAGGAGAGCTCCAATGGAGGATCAGGGAGGCAAAGATGGGACGGCTGTCAGTCAGAGGTCTGCGGCCCCCCCTGGGGACCAATCCAGAAGAAGAGCTTGGACTTCCTGGCCCCCCCATCCTCCCCACCTTCTCCAGAAGCACCATAGAGAGCGTTCTGAGCAGCTGTCTCACTGTGTGGTGTGGAGGCTGCAGCGCCTCAGACTGGAAGAAGGTGAGAACAGCAGAGAGGATCATGGGGGCTCCTCTTCCCTCCATTAAAGACATTTCATCCCAGCGCTGCGTGTCCCGTGACATCATCAATGACCCCTCACCCCCCCCCCCACCTGCTGCCCTCTGGGAAGAGGCTTCCCAGCATTCAATGCAGGACCAGCAGGTTCTGCAGCAGCTTCTTCCCCCCCGCCATCACACTGATGACACCAAACTTGCTCTACATGGTGAATCTTCAAAAGAACTCAACTCAAATGTTTTTTACTGCCATCAATTTCTATTAATTCCATTGTCGATATATTGACCTGAGTTTCTTTTATTCAGGCCTCAGAGCTGCAAGGTATCTGAGGGAGGTTTGTTTTTCCTATTTAGGATAAAAATAATCCTTCTCATAACAATTTAGACTGGAATTATTTCATAACATTATATGTTGTTAACTGTAAGGGTTTTGGGTAACGATTTGTGGAGAACTTCACAGTAGAGCCAAACTCCATCTATCCAGATCTGGGCTCAACATCTTGTTCTTTTTTCTTTGTACAGAAAATAAAGTTCTGACTGATGGAATCAGCATCTATCTCCACTATGAACAGGATTGCATAGTTTTACACTGGCCATACGTCAACATTTCTTGGAACCGCCACTGTTGTCAAATTTCTTGTTCCATTTCTAATATCTGGTTAATTAAGGCTAGCATCATCATCAGGTCATAATGCAGTTAGAGAATATAGCATAGAGGTGAGGACATCTGTGATAAGGTACAAATTGGTGCTAAAAAAAGGCACTGCCATCAACGCTTTTGTTTTATATATGCTGGAGCTTGGCCTGTTTTTCAGTGTAGTCCTGTTTCTCTGACTAACTGGAAGATCTCTCTTTCATCTTCTGAACCTATCTGACTGGATGAACTGGTTGAACTGTGTCTGTAAAGTGACCATAGATGACATGATGAGAATTGGCACTATATATATAAACTGAATTGAATTAATAATGAAATAACCTCATTAAATAACCGCATTTTACAACTGAATGGTATATGACATACCTGAATCATGTATTAGATCAATTCCTTGCCTATTTCATGGTATTTCCATCAGTGTATCTAGTCATGCCTTATATCCACTTTGGGAAGCTTAGAAGTTCTGGGATGGCAGCAGATGGACGAGGTCCTCCTGAAACCTTGAATATGACCCAACGACCCATTTTTGATTTAAAACCTTTTATTAAACACCAGAACAACCAGAAGACTGAATCATACAAGGACTTTGATCGCGGCCGGCGGTCCGTCCAGCCAGACACATCTTGGTACCAACTTTCCCTGAGTTGCCCTCAGTGTTGGACCAGTTTGGTTGTGAACAGAGGCTCTTTGGGAAATGAATCAGCTTCAGTCATGGGGTCACTGGAAGTTGAGTTTTGGTCGGTTCAGCCCAGCTCAGAGCTTTGTGGAAAGGTTTGTACTGTTACCATCTCAGAGGAAAGGAAAGTAGATTTAAAACATATTGGATCTTTAAGGCGGAAGTTAACTGGACCAGCTGTTTAACCCGCTTGGGGGCTGGTAGGGGGGGAATCCTTCTTAAACCGGTCTTAAACCAGACCAATAAAAGCTTCAATAAGATCTGCAGTGGAGAAGCAAAAGCAGGAAACGGTCCAGAAGACATCTTAGAAACAGCTGAGCTTAAAGACAATGGATGAGCTGGAGGAGGGCGTGAAGACCAGCAGAACCAGAGATGATGATGCACCTTTATCTGTTGCTGCTCTAACATGTCTGCCCAACCAAAGGTCAACTTAAACATGTCATGACCCACTGAAATCCACCCCCTTCCTCCATCCAGAGGTCGGAGGTCGGTCCCGTCAGGCCGTCTTCTTACACACGTGGATGAAGTAGCACGGCGTCTGGGCCTGACCCGGACGATACGCCTTGAAGTCTCCATAGACGGTGTGCTCCATTTTGCCTTTGAATGCGTCCTTCAGGAGCTCAGAGAAGTTCTCCAGGCGGTGGGGATAGTAGGACAGTCGGAACTTACTGCGGAGAAACAACAGAACACGAGAAGACATCAAGTGGGGTGGGGGGGTGGTGGGCGGTTCTGAAGCTGAAAACCCGCCTAGCTGGTTTTTATAGTCCAGGCTGCAGCTCCGAACTTTGCTAAGATTCAACATGATGAAGTACCTTGAGGTACCTTCTGCCAAATACTCTGCCCAATAATCTGCTGATATTTAGAAGAAACTGTTAATCAGCTAAGCTCCTCTTCCTTGCTTTTATTTTTATTTTATTTTAATGTCTAATTTATGTAAAGCACTTTGGATTGTAGATATACTGAATTAAGCTTAACAATTAAACGTCCTTCTCTTCTCGGTACCTCATGGTGCGCTCTATATCATAGCAGTGATCGCGGGCGTATGTGGTTATTTGAGCGCTCTTGAATGCAGCACCCCCCCGCCAATCGGTCTGCTCTTGCAGAAAAGTCACGCCCCCTCACTCAGGTTGGTGTCAGGCTATTCTGATGGATCTGATTGGTCGATTTTCAGCTTCTATCTGGTGGCTCTTTGAACCAAATAAAATCCTCTTTGCCTTTTAAGTAGAGTTGTGACGCTCTGACAGCGTTTATTGACATTAATGTCCTCTGATCCCAGATTATGCTTTTCAATGCTGGGGGTGTCAGGGACATTTACTTTGTTCTAAATTTTAGACAGGGATGAAATTTCACATAAAATACATCACAGATACTAGATCTTCATATTAGTTTATGCAGTATACTACTATCCTTTTTAAAGCGATTTATGATGCATACTAGCGTGGGGAATGCTGTGGCTTGACCTCCGTTAATTTTAAACCACAGACTTAGATGTCCGGGGATTAAAGCTCTACTCCAGATTACCTTCAGATCTACATCCTTCAACAAAGCCTGAGTTAGTTTACCAGCAGGATCCTGGGCAGATGTTGAATAACCTAAAGAGCAAAGCTGATCTAAATTTTTAATAACTTTTAGATAAAGAATTCATTTTCTATAGAAAGTATATATCATGCATTTTATTTTTGTTTTATCATGTGAACTGGATACATTAACCATGGCCCTCTCTGGACCCCATGGCACCCTCCTGGGACCCAGTGGCACCCTCCTGGGACCCAGTGGCGCCCTCCTGGGACCCAGTGGCGCCCTCTCTGGACCCCGTGGCACCCTCCTGGGACCCAGTGGCGCCCTCTCTGGACCCCGTGGCACCCTCCTGGGACCCAGTGGCGCCCTCTCTGGACCCCGTGGCACCCTCCTGGGACCCAGTGGCGCCCTCTCTGGACCCCGTGGCACCCTCCTGGGACCCAGTGGCGCCCTCTCTGGACCCCATGGCACCCTCCTGGGACCCAGTGGCGCCCTCTCTGGACCCCGTGGCACCCTCCTGGGACCCAGTGGCGCCCTCTCTGGACCCCGTGGCACCCTCCTGGGACCCAGTGGCGCCCTCTCTGGACCCCGTGGCACCCTCCTGGGACCCAGTGGCACCCTCCTGGGACCACGTGGCGCCCTCCTGGGACCCAGTGGCACCCTCCTGGGACCCCGTGGCACCCTCCTGGGACCACGTGGCGCCCTCCTGGGACCCCGTGGCACCCTCCTGGGACCCACGTGGCGCCCTCTCGGGACCCAGTGGCGCCCTCCTGGGACCCACGTGACGCCCTCTCTGGACCCAGTGGAACCCTCCTGGGACCCAGTGGCGCCCTCCTGGGACCCAGTGGCGCCCTCCTGGGACCCAGTGGCGCCCTCCTGGGACCCAGTGGCACCCTCCTGGGACCCAGTGGCGCCCTCCTGGGACCCAGTGGCGCCCTCCTGGGACCCAGTGGCGCCCTCTCTGGACCCCGTGGCACCCTCCTGGGACCCAGTGGCGCCCTCTCTGGACCCCGTGGCACCCTCCTGGGACCCAGTGGCACCCTCCTGGGACCACGTGGCGCCCTCCTGGGACCCAGTGGCACCCTCCTGGGACCCAGTGGCGCCCTCTCTGGACCCCGTGGCACCCTCCTGGGACCCACGTGGCGCCCTCTCGGGACCCAGTGGCGCCCTCCTGGGACCCATGTGGCGCCCTCTCTGGACCCAGTGGCACCCTCCTGGGACCCAGTGGCGCCCTCCTGGGACCCAGTGGCACCCTCCTGGGACCCAGTGGCGCCCTCCTGGGACCCAGTGGCACCCTCCTGGGACCCAGTGGCGCCCTCCTGGGACCCAGTGGCACCCTCCTGGGACCCAGTGGCGCCCTCTCTGGACCCAGTGGCACCCTCCTGGGACCCAGTGGCGCCCTCCTGGGACCCAGTGGCGCCTTCTCTGGACCCCGTTGCACCCCCCTGGGACCCAGTGGCGCCCTCTCGGGACCCAGTGGCGCCCTCTCTGGACCCAGTGGCACCCTCCTGGGACCCAGTGGCGCCCTCTCTGGACCCCGTGGCACCCTCCTGGGACCCAGTGGCGCCCTCCTGGGACCCAGTGGCGCCCTCTCTGGACCCCGTGGCGCCCTCCTGGGACCCACGTGGCGCCCTCTCTGGACCCACGTGGTGCCCTCCTGGGACCCCCGTGGCGCCCTCCTGGGACCGACGTGGCGCCCTCCTGGGACCCACGTGGCGCCCTCTCTGGACCCACGTGGTGCCCTCCTGGGACCCCGTGGCGCCCTCCTGGGACCCCGTGGCGCCCTCTCGGGACCCAGTGGTGCCCTCTCGGGACCCAGTGGCGCCCTCCTGGGACCCAGTGGCGCCCTCCTGGGACCCACGTGGCGCCCTCTCGGGACCCCGTGGCGCCCTCTCGGGACCCCGTGGCGCCCTCCTGGGACCCTGTGGCGCCCTCTCGAGACCCCGTGGCGCCCTCTCGGGAACCAGTGGCGCCCTCCTGGGACCCCGTGGCGCCCTCCTGGGACCCAGTGGCGCCCTCCTGGGACCCCGTGGCGCCCTCTCGGGACCCCGTGGCGCCCTCTCGGGACCCAGTGGTGCCCTCTCGGGACCCAGTGGCGCCCTCCTGGGACCCCGTGGCGCCCTCCTGGGACCCCGTGGCGCCCTCTCGGGACCCAGTGGCGCCCTCTCGGGACCCAGTGGCGCCCTCTCGGGACCCAGTGGCGCCCTCTCGGGACCCAGTGGCGCCCTCCTGGGACCCAGTGGCGCCCTCCTGGGACCCACGTGGCGCCCTCTCGGGACCCCGTGGCGCCCTCTCGGGACCCCGTGGCGCCCTCTCGGGACCCCGTGGCGCCCTCTCGAGACCCCGTGGCGCCCTCTCGGGAACCAGTGGCACCCTCCTGGGACCCAGTGGCGCCCTCCTGGGACCCAGTGGCGCCCTCCTGGGACCCAGTGGCGCCCTCCTGGGACCCACGTGGCGCCCTCTCGGGACCCCGTGGCGCCCTCTCGGGACCCCGTGGCGCCCTCCTGGGACCCTGTGGCGCCCTCTCGAGACCCCGTGGCGCCCTCTCGGGAACCAGTGGCACCCTCCTGGGACCCCGTGGCACCCTCCTGGGACCCAGTGGCGCCCTCCTGGGACCCAGTGGCGCCCTCTCGGTACGGAGAATGTCTCATCATGTTGCTTTTCATAAACTGACCATTATTGACTTATAACTTTTTTATCTGACCATCAAACTATTTCCTGCTGCTGTTCTTAGAGATTAAACACATTTGATGGAATTATTGTCAAATCCAGATAAAGAATAAAAACATAGTTTTCAGGATTGAAAGGATAACCAGGAAGCAGAGGAGGCCCACCTGACATCAGGAAGGTGACGCAGGGCGGCCTGAGGCACCTGGATGGTGTAGTCCAGAGTGATCATGTGGGGCTTGCTGTCGACCCACAGAACCGAGGTACTGATGTCTTGGGTCAGGTCGCTCTGTGGAACAACAACAGATGGAGTCAGAACAGAGTCTGAACATGTGGGTCTGGTTCTTGTTCAGCTGGTTAGAATTAGAGGCGGTTCTGTCCTGAACATGTCGTGTATTTTCTCTTAACGATTTAAAATTGAAGCTAAGTTATAAAAATTCAAAGTTCTTAAAAAGCAGAAAAGTCTCAAACAAAGATCCAAAAATCAGGCAGAAGCAGCTGAGTCCAAGTCCAGGGTGTTTTATTGCAAAACACAACACAACCACACGGAGCTGGTCACCGGTGAGCAACTGAACAAATGGTGAAAACAGCCCTCTTTTATACATTTCATTGGGCTTGGGGCTCCTCCCCCAAGCCCCTCCTTTGTTTACATCATTTCAGGTGTTTTTCTTCGGGTAAGACCAATTATTTTTATCTTATCAGTGGAAAACCCCTTTCAAAGCATATATTTTTTATATATTTAACCAACAGTCTTTGTTACAGGTTATGGTGACATTTCTTTGCAAATCATGATGACATTTATTGCTACTAAATCATAGACACATCATATTCTTAATTATCAACCCGCCAAAACAAAACTTTCATCCAATGTAACTTATGATTATGACATTTCTGTAAGAGCGGTCTCACCGGTCATGATGACATTTGGTGCACTTAAATCAGAAACTTATGACAGTTTAATTACTAATATGTCAAAACTAAGCCTTTCTTCCAATGTGATCTAAGACCATAATATTACTCCAAGCTAGGTCAGTATCACCCTGGTGTTCCCCGTGTGTTCCATGTCCCAGCAAAGCATCACCCTTTTCTATGACCAGTACTGCACAGTGTGTTTTGAAGATGACAACTCAATTCATCACAGTTAGTTTGGCTAAACTTAGCTGAGCTGGGCAACCTTGGTATGTCAAATAACTCATTTTTAATGAGTGTGCTTCTTATCACTAAAAAGCCAGGTGCAGAGTTACACACACACACTGCCTCTGTATCTCTCCATATTCGGTGGCGCACATTCTTTTGGACTCTGTGACCTGTATAACATAAATGTATTTAGTGTAAAACATTTATTCAATATGTAAAACATGTATCCAATATATTCTAATCATTGGTGTAGATTAATTCATCAAACAGACGTTGCTTCTTTATTTGGGTCGGTTGAGAGAAGAACATTAATTCCTGCTGGGTCTTTAAATTCCACTTTCTAATTGAAACCAGAGCGTAACGAAGGGTTTGGGTTGTCAGGCAGTTGGGTTATTGCCAACATTGGAGTTTCTGGGCTTTCGATCACATCCAGGTTCTGTAGAACCGCCTCCCACTGAGCTGCTTTACACTAAACGATGCATCGTTCTGATGATTCCACAGAAACAAACAACTAGCTTTAAATGAACGACTTGACATCAGCTGAGTTTTAAAGTGTTTCCAAAATACTCAGTTCTTCATCCTTTTCAGGGAAAAAAAAAAACAAAACATTATTGCAATTTAATGAGTCTTTAATGTTCTTCTCTAGGTGGCAAAACTCAATCATTGAAATGGTCCTCAATCTATGATCAGAATCTAAAACCGGCCCCGGCTGCTGCAGACGGGCTAATGTTCACTTCTATTCAGTTTATTTCTATAGCTCCAATTCACATCATGTCATCTCAGGTCACTTTCCAGTTCACCAGATCATCCAGTCAGATTGATTCAAAGTTTTCTATCTAAGGAAAACCAGCTGATTGCATCGACTCATTGACTCTTCAGCAATCCCTCACACTAAGCATGCTTGTAGCGACAGTGGAGAGGAAAAACTCCCTTTGAACAGGAAGAAACCTCCAGCAGAACCAGGCTCAGTGTGAGCGGCCATCTGCTGAGGCCCACTGGGGTTCAAGGAGACAGAAGCAGACATAGAAAAAGAAGCATAGATACAAAAGGCAACTGTCAACCAGCTCCACAGGCGGCCCCGTCCAGGAAACACACAGCCAGGCAGACGAGCTCCGAGCCAGCTCCCATGTCAGAGGATGAAGAGAGCACATCCAGTTAGTCACAGTCAGAGAAACAGGACTACACTGGAAAACAGGCCAAGCTCCAACATCTAGAAACAAAGGTGTTGATGGCAGCAGCACAGCTGATATTTCTCTCCAGGATGGAGTCACAGCCAAACAGGAACAGACCAGATGAAGCTACTATGAGAAAAAGCAGAGAGAGCAGAACGTTAGAGATTGAACTAACAGATTCTGCAGAGTGGGAGAATAGAGATAGAATGAAGCAGAATGATGAAAAAGGGGTCCCTATGTCCTCCAGCAGTCTAAGCCTATAGCAGCAGAACTATAGAGATAGCTCAGGATAACCTGAGCCACTCTAACTAGAAGCTTTATCAAAAAGGAAAGTTTTAAGCCTAGCCTTAAAAGTAGACAGGGTGTCTGCCTCACGGACTAAAACTGGTAGTTGGTTCCACAGGAGAGGAGCCTGAGAACTAAAAGATCTGCCTCCCATTCTACTTTTAGAAATTCTAGGAACCACTAGTAAACCTGCAGATTGAGAGCGAAGTGCTCTGTTAGGAACATCAGGAACAATCAGATCTCTGATATCAGATGGAGCTTGGCCATTTAAGGCTTTATATGTGAGAAGGAGGATTTTAAATTCTATTCTGGATTTAACAGGAAGCCAATGAAGAGAAGCCAGGATAGGAGAGATATGATCTCTCTTTTTCATTTTCATTAGAACTCTGGCTGCAGCATTTTGGATCAGCTGAAGGCTTTTAACTACAGTTTGTGGACTTCCTGATAGTAAAGAATTACAATAGTCCAGCCTTGAAGTAACAAATGCATGGACTAGTTTCTCAGCATCACCCCTGGACAGGAGATTGCTCATTTTTGCAATATTCCTCAGATGAAAGAAGGAAATTCTAGAAACCTCTTTGATCTGGGATTTAAATGACAGGTTCTGATCAAAAATAACACCAACATTTTTTACATTATTATCTGAAATCAGTTTAATCCCATCCAGATGAAGTGACTGACTAATCAGCTTCTTTTTCAGAGACTCTGGTCCAAAGACTATAACTTCTGTTTTGTCTGCATTCAGAAGCAGAAAGTTAAGAGTCATCCAGGTTTTTATGTCTTCAGACATGCCTGTAATCTATGTAATGGGTTAGCTTCATCTGGATTATAGACAGATATAGCTGGGTATCATCTAGCCTGGTGAGACCATCCTGATCTCGCGAGCTTTCAAGGTTTCACTCGCTAATCAGTCTGGAGACTCTCCGTTAAAGAAAATTTGGAGCCGTTCACCAAACGAACGTCCAATCAGCGTTGGCTTTGAGGCGGGTTGAGGTGTGACGCAACGAGAAGCGGGACAGTTCAGTCTAAAGAACATGGCGGCTTCAGCCGATGAAACTAGCGTTAGCTTGGCTATCGAGCAAGTTTTATGGGAATTACAGAGTATTTCTTCACTGAAAGAAGAGCAAAACACTGCTCTGGAGGCTTTTCTCAGAGGAAAAGATGTTTTTGCTCTTCTCCCGACTGGTTTCGGCAAGAGTAGCCTGGCTTGTGGTTGTGTTTTTGTCGTCACTCTGTTAGTACGTCATATGCTTTGTTGATCTGATTGGTTTATTTGGCCCGTCTATCACCAACATAGGCCAATCAGCTAACCAGTATTTTCGTCCCTTCCCAAAATTACTGCAACGGAAGGTTTCCAGATGGATATGAGGAGCAAATACATCTGGCGGAGTCAGGTTAGGTATCATCAGCATAACAGTGAAAATTAATCCCATGCTGTCTAATAACTCTACCGATTGGGAGCATGTATAAAGTAAAGAGAATTGGTCCTAGCACTGATCCCTGTGGTACTCCACAGGTAACCCTGGAGCATGAGGAAGATCTATCATTAATGCGAACAAACTGAACTCGATCAGATAGATAAGATTTAAACCAGTCTAGAGCTGTTCCTTTAATTCCAACAAAATATTCAAGTCTTTCTAAAAGAATATTCTGATCAACTGGATCAAATGCAGCACTGAGATCCAACAGGACGAGCACAGATACAAGTCCATTATCTGAGGCCATGAGAATATCATTAGTGACTTTCACCAGAGCTGTTTCAGTGCTATGATGAGCTCTAAAGCCAGACTGAAACTAAGTTCATTATGGTGGAAGTGATCGCAAACTTGTTTGGCAACTACTTTCTCAAGAATTTTGGATAAGAAAGGAAGATTGGATATAGGTCTATAATTGACCAAGTCATCTGGGTCAAGAGACGGTTTCTTAAGCAGAGGTTTAATTACAGCAACCTTAAAAGCTTTAGGTACATATCCCTGTAACAGAGATAGATTAATCACATCTTAAATGGAGGAGGAGATCAAAGGGAATACCTCCTTAAATAACCTGGTTGGAACTGGATCTAACATCCAAGTTGAAGGCTTAGATGAAGACAATAATTTTGCTAATTCAGAAAGTTCAACTGGATCAAAGCAGTCTAAACCCGGTTCAGATTCCATGACTACCTCAGGTACAATCACGGATAGAGGAGTGCTTATGATCTTATTTTTAATAAGATCAATCTTATTTATAAAGAATCCCATAAAATCATTGCTGCTAAGAGCAGGTGGAATGGACGGTTCAACAGAGCTATGGCTCTGGGTGAGTTTGGCAACTGTATTAAAAAGAAATCTAGGATTATTCTTATTCTCCTCTATTAATGAGGAGAAGTATGCTGCTCTTGCTTTACAAAGGGTCCTCTTATACAGCAGTGAAAAATTTTTCCAGACTAGGGAGGACTCCCGTGGGCCTGTGGAGCGATATTTTCTCTAAAGTTTCCTAGCATTTGGCTTCAAAGTGCGCAGCTCTGCTGCTGCAGATGGGCTAGCGTTATCCCTGGCTGTGATTAGCCTCGGGGCTCCGCTGGTCGCCGCGGTCCTCTCAGCATCTGGACTTTTTATAATTTCGCACTAAATCAGTAAATGTTCCATATAGTGAAGCTTAAAGTATAATATTCTCGCCTCAAATGATCTTAAAACGTACTTTTATTGAACAACAG